AAAAACCAAAAAAAAATTGCCGAATCGCTCTTTGCCGAGGGCCTGCCCCATGGCCCTTGGCAAAGAATTTTTTTTAAAAAAATAAAAAATCTTTGCCGAGGGCCTATCCTGGCCCTTGGCAAAGGGCTTCTTTGCCGAGGGCCTAGCCTCAGGCCCTCGGCAAAGGCGATTTATAAAAAAAAAATTGGCCGAAAAAATGGTTTTAAAAAAATCTTTGCCGAGGGCCTGGTCTAGGGCCCTCGGCAAAGACTTAAAAAAAATTTGCCGAATAACCTGGTTGCACAGGAAAAAAAACCTTTGCCGAGGACCTAACGGGTGGCCCTCGGCAAAGCTTGACGGGAAATGGCCGTCGTGACCCAACGGGCCTAATTTGCCAATGACATCTTTGCCGAGGGCCGCGGCCCTCGGCAAAGATTTGATTTGCCGAGGGCAAAGGCCTCTTTGCCGAGAGCTCCTGTATCTGGCCCTCGGCAAAGAGTGTCTTTGCCGAGTGCCCAAGATTTGGCCCTCGGCAAGTCCTCATGCCCTCGGCAAAGCACGCGTTTCCAGTAGTGGAAGATCTTCTTCTTAAGCATAATACCCAAGGGTTGTCTTATCCCTGCAGGTCGAGTTTGTTTTCATATAAAGAATATAATGACACTTATTTAATATCACAAATATTGATAATTTGTTTATAAAATTAGTTAGGTCTGACTCAGTGCTACGCCAGAATTACATCTTTTCGGGATTGAGGACATGCATACAACCTTCGATTTTAAATATATAATGAACAAGTCTTTATTTTAAAAATAAACTAATTAGTTTATCCCAAACATCATATGTTTAGAGATTATTTAAAAACTTTCAAATGATTATATATATTTTATAAAGTCTGAACAAGCATTTCCGATAGAGTACGTTATCATATAAGCGAGTTGGTGTGCTAACATTGCGTCAAACCTATAAATGGAAAGAAATGTATAAGGGACCCGGTCAAGCCATTATATGGCGGTCATCCACTAACCCACCTAGCATCTTCTTATATTCGTCTTATGAAACCATAGTTACTTCTATAATTCCTTCTTTTGTAAAGCTTAGTAAAGTTGGCAACCACCATGGCCTAAATAGATGCCAATACGACATGAACCGTGCTGGGATTTTCACTTAAGCAACATAAATTTAGCAAATTAGTTTATTTGGAAATCTCTTTCTTGACAGTACGAACTATGAAGTCACTATGCTGCTTCGTTCTTTGCCATCAATCCTACAATTTAGTTGGTCCTATTCTTATTTCATTAACAATTAAGAGGAATTGAGATTTGCCGGCTCAGTCCTTCGGAGATGTTCATAAGGGTAGGATTTGCGTACGTGTGTTCATAGGGGTGAGTGTGCGTGCGTGTTGAGTGTCTGCGTTGTACTGTGTAATTCTAAAAAAAAGAGGAATTAGAAAGATAGTTAAAAGTGTTGTTTTGTAATCGTAACAAAACCATTAAATATCTTTTCTTTGATTGTCATCATGCCAGGAATGTCTATATATATATATATTTCCAGGGTTAACACCTCCCAACTCTATATCCCACATGTTAGGGAGTTGGCTATCAAATTTCGTTACAATTACAAAACAACACTTTTGACTGTCTTTCCAATTCCCCTTAATTAGGTTGTCCTTTGTTAAAATTACCCCGTTCAAGATACCAAAGGACTGTCTTTCCAATTCCCCTTAATTAGGTTGTCCTTTGTTAAAATTACCCTGTTCAAGATACAAAGGAAAATCTTGATTTTCAGAGGCATTTTTAACTTCCAAATCAATTTACGAGAGAAAGGTGTATTTTGATTTATTATGTGAAGATACATAGAATGGACCGTAAATTGATCATTGTTATGTAAACTCCAAATAAACAAATCGCTCTTGTCACGAATTGGCGAGATATGTGACACTTGATAAACAATAACATAAACGATATATAGTGGGACTTAGGCCCGAGGCTTATGTGACATGATGATTAAGCCTAGTAGCCGTGTTATTTGCACGAGCCACCTTGCTAGCAATTTTATCTTTGTTACATAGATTTGATCGCCTGTGTTGTAGGGGTAAATTAAATTAAAATTTCATATCTAAACTAATTAAATTACTTTATATTTAATAGAGTGGTCGGACAACAGGAGGATTCGGGGACCAGGGAGAAGCCTCTAAAGACTAAAGATCGAATCCGGCCGTTAATTGTTGTCTCATGCACTATGAGATTCCCAAGTGTTTTTTAAGATAGCACAAGGCCAGTGCATGAGCAGATGCCACAAGGAATAAAGAGAGTAGCGTCAGTTTACATGCATGCTGCTAACCTCACAGTAGGCAAACTAAATCAAATCAAGGCAAGGCATGTTTTCTCTCCGACTGCTGCTCGATTTTAAGTTTCAGTCCCACCTACACCATAGAACTTTGTCTAAAAAATTATGGAGGCTCCGGGCCCCTACTACACATATGAGACGGAGGGGGCCATGGATGTGACGAATCAACGGCTCAGATTTGCTCATGAGCTCTATATAAGCCCACCAACCCGGCCATCTTTGTACTCCTCATCACAACTCCATAGCTAGCTCATGTGCTCCTAGCTACAGGCCTAAATATAACTGGATGAGAGTTTATCTTGCTATGGGATGAATGAAGCCATGAAGAAGAAGAAGACGACGACGAAGAAGATGGCGAAGAAAAGCGATCGAAGAGCTCCCTTCGATCCAATCCAGGAGGGGAAGTGGTCGGTTGCAGCTGCCGGTTCATGGATGCCTCTCTGGTGCAGCAATGACTAATGCTCACTTGCACTTGCATGGGTGTGCATGACCCGGGAGATGAACCCACCATCATCTTTCCCTCGTGCTTGGATTGAAGGGAGCTCCTCTCTCTCTCTCTCTCTTTCTCCTTTCCATGATTTTTTTTTTTTTGTATGTCGATAGTTTCTCATCATTTTTATCTCTTCTTTGCAGATGTATATATATGGTCCATATGGAGATGCCAAGCGCGGGGAACTTTGACCATGGATAAAAGGATTCATGCATGCATGAACCAGTACAATAACTGTGTGTATTAGGATTATTCAGGACAAGCTTGTGCATTTTTTATGTATATTTTATTGTTTCAAAAACGTTTACACAATTTGTTTCTTTTCCTGTTTATTACCTGCCCAATGGAGGAATGAATCATGGATCTATGTGTAGGAATTTGGAGATAAATAACATATTCCCTCTTTTAGACAAGTTTTTACAACTTCTTTCTATTTGGACATTTTGCTAACTTTTTTTTGAACATTTTTGCTTGAAGCAACAATTGAGCACTTGAGATTTGGGGTGTCCTAATTGACACGATATTCTTTCCTTCGCCATCAACGTACCATTAATTCAATATGGATTGACGTATATATTCTCCTTATAAAAGATACTAATGCATATATGTAGTATTATATATTGTAAGTGAACGGTGGTACGTACTTTCTTGGACCATCTATCGGCCCTTTCTAAGGCTATCTCCAACAATGATACCTAAAATATAAGAATCATTCGTCCTTTAGATGTCGCTATAGGCAAATGGTTCAATACTTATTCAGCATCTTCTCCAACAACAGGATCCAAAAAAAGAATCCTTTCTGTAAATAAGTTTACAGGAGAGAGGATGCTTATATTTGGGTTGTACCTCTCAATCAACCCAAAATAGATCTCTCGTATAGGTACTCTGTTGAATACTGATTTTGGGTCTCTCGCTACCCATTTTGGGTTTGAGTTCCCATATACGTTCCTTGTTAGAGACAGTCTAATGACATAGGATATGCTTGCACCTCTAGGTGTGATCATTGTTTAAAAGTTCTTAACTAGGCCGTACTTCCTCTGTCCCATAATGCTTGTCGTCGTAGGAGTTGGGGGAGATTATCAAGGAAGCCAACAAATGACCTGGTTGCCCCTACTTCCTCTGTCAAAAGGCTATTGTGAATGGCAGTGAATGGACATGTAGAGAGAGGGTGCCGAGCAGATAGAGAGTGAGCAGGTGCCAAGCACATGGGCCAAAGGCTGCTGCGCCTGATAGGCTGGTGCCGAGCACATGGGCCAAAGGCTGCTGCGCATGCACTGATGGAGGAAGCAAGCTAAAACGTCATCTATTTTGATACTTCTTTTGAACGCTTAGACGTCCAGTATTATGGGACGGAGGGAGTATGCACGACGTACAGTGTTGTTATTATTATCGGTTGCCGAGCTTCATGGATTAAGGTCTTGTTTAAATCCAGGGCGTAAAGCTTTGATGTGTCATATCAAGTGTCACATGGGAGTGTTGTATGGAATGTTCAGATACTAATAAAAAATTAAATTATAGAATCCGTCAACAATCCACCAGACGAATTTATTAAGCCTAATTAATCCATCATTAGCACATATGTTACTGTAGCACAGCATTATCAAATCATAAACTAATTAGATTTAAAAGATTCGTCTCGTAAATTAGTTATAAACTATATAATTAGTTATTTTTTTAATTTATATTTAATGCTCCATGTATGTCTCTAAATATTTGGATGAGGAGTAAACTTTAAGTGAGGAACTGAACGACGCCCACCAGAGACGTCACGTTCAAACAACCTAACGTAACAAATGAAATTTCATCTTGTAGTTGTAGCCCAAACATTGACAAACATTTTGTCAAGCCATAGAGCATGCATGTCGCCTGCAGGACCGAACATGATGTGAGCCATCGAGTCCATGTCCATCGGTCAATCCAGCGTCAGTCAGTGTGGTACGCCATGTCCATGTGTCCCTGCTCACTCACTCATCCGTATCCAGAAAACGACAAGCACAGCACAGTGCCGCACTGAACTGAGCTGACAACAGTAAGATCATTGCCATTTCACTTCGTGAACAGCGACGCTGAAGAACCGAACACAAAGACAACAATGGCCCTTTTCATCGATCAAAATAGAAGAAAAAAAAAAGACAACAATGGCGACCAACCCAACCGAACCGACCAACCATCCAACAAGCTCAGTTTAGGTGCTACTCGAGCTCACGTCCGTCTCAATCTCCTCGTCATCAAACAAGGTCTTGGACACCGCCCCGAGCGCGGCTGCCCTCGCCGCCCCCTGGCCGGCGTCGGACTCCGGCGGCGACTCCGACCCGCTCTCGTGCCTCTTGGCGGCGGTCACCGGCGTCTCGAAGACGACGTCCGTGAACACCGCCCACCGCCGCTTCCTCCGCTTGGAGCACGACCTGGACCGTGGTACCCGCGCGCACGGCTCCTTCCCGAGGTGCTTGAGCGCCCAGACGCGGCGCAGGTCGGGCACCCAGCTGGTGAAGGAGGAGAGCCGCCTCTGCCGGTCCCGCCGCTCCTGGGCTCTCGCCATCAGCTCGTTGTGCCAGTCGTCCTCGCGTTGCCGGCTGCTCCTGGCGTCCCGCTGCGGCATCTGGAGCACGGAGGCGCTCGTGCTGGTGGAGCCCCGGTGGCTGTGGCGCCGGTTGGCGTCTTCCTGGTTGCTGCTGCTGGGTAGAGAATCTGAGTAGTCGACTTCGTCGTCGTCGTCAAATAAATCGAACTCCATCTCTGTGTAGATCTTCTTGATCACGTCCTCCATGGAGTTGATGTACCTGAAAAGCATCGGAAATTTTGGTTATATTACTAAAAATTCTGAAAATGGGAGCAATTTATCGAAGTGACATGTAACAATTTGAACTGAAAACCTTCATCTTGTTTCCAAGGACAAGATTTAATTAGCGATCCTGTTTCACTTAGCAGAAAGAGTAAATAAAAGTTTTTTTATAAAAAAAAAAGGCATTTACAGTACCCATGATCATGAAGACCAGCAACTCACATTTATCAAATTTTACCTACAGCATATGTCAATTTTGCAGAAATATTGGTGCGTCACTCTCTGGATCAAGCGAACGAAGAGCACAATCTTTATTTCAGTGCTACTCCGTACTATACTATGCAGCAGTGCTCCTTAAGGGATAAAGACACATGAGAATAATTATGTGTGATGCAGTGATGCTGCTCCTCCTATTTTTGTTACATATAACTAGAGGACAGGGATTAAGCTAGAGTTTCTTAAGTAGTAGCAGTAGTAGTCAACAAAAGTGAAAGAAACTAATGGACTGAAGCAGTCTTGACCATACATAACAGAGATACATATGGTATCAGGCTGGCCCTGTAAGCCTGTCGCATAGATATTACCAGATAATTGTGTAATATTAAGAAAAGTATTCCAAGTTAGAACTTCATCAATTTTTATTGGTATCTCTGGCTACCCAGCAGCTACTTGCAGTTGCAGAAGACAGAACTACAGATACCATTTTACCCTAAAGCATAAAACTTGCTTCTGGCAAAGAAAGCAGTACAGAGCATGAATGTGTGCTACAAAAGTGTGTAATGCTGCCCTGATACTAGACTTATTTTTTTCAAACAAATGCCAGATTTGCATTGCAACAACATGAACTTGCATCTCCTGGCATGGTAGCAAGTTTAACCTTACACGATTGCAATTACTATTTACATGAACTTCAACACTAAGATTCACAAAAAGTCTACTAAACAATATTGAGATGAACTGAAAGCATAGAAAATAAGCCATACCTGGACTTTATGGTCTTTTCAGCATACTCAAGAATACCGTCAGACTGAAAAGAATCCCCTTGGAGATTGATATCAATAAATTGCAAAAGCGAGCAGATGTTTTTTATCATTTTCTGTTTTGAACCTTCCTCTATAGCAGATCCAAGTTCAGATTTGATCATTTCCATTCTAAGCAAAATCTGCAGCTCATGCCTGGTACGTAAATGTTAAGGTGTACAAAACCACAAGAAATAATACATTAACAAATAGAATTGCAGATGATGTCATCCAAAATAATTGCACAGGCAGAAGGAAAAGAATGAGCATTAAAAAAAGGATACTCTCGAATTTTATAACATGTACCGTATTTTGTGGTTTGTTCTGATGCAGCAGACACTGAATCACTTTCTCTGTACTTGGACACCAGTTCTTTAGGTTTCTTCAGCAAAATATTGGAAAGTTCACAGGCAATTTTTGCACCAGAAACATCTTCTGCTTCATTGTGTTCAAAGTACCTCACTGCAATCTTTCCATGCTTAACCAACATTGCATGCACAGACAAGCCAACCAAACGTTCAGCTAAACTCCCCAGATCAGCATCTCCAGAACAAAGACCTTGCTCAATCTTATGAGGGACACTTCCCAGAAATGCTTCTAAATCTTCCATAGAAGAGAACATTGAACTCTCTTCACCTACTGATATGTCCACTTTACTGCAATCTGCTTCATCCACTGGTATGCCCACTTCACTGCAATCTGCTTCATCCACTGGCATCTCCACCTTTTGGCAATCTGCTTCATCCAGCGAAAAATTGACAAGACCAGCTGAAGCATCTTCTTCTGAAACCAGAACTCTTGCTTCTGAATCATCCTTTGAGGGAAGACACTTCTGTCCTTCTGTATATATGCTCGTTAAAGTACTAAGACATGACTGTTTCACCTGTTTCATCCAACATTTCAGAAACCGCAACTTTTTGGATGTGGTGCCATACCTGCTGAAATATAGGTCTTCCAAGTCAACCACCGGCATGCTTCCATCAGCGTGTTTGAGAAGCATGTCACAGAAGGTACTCCAGGTGGTCACCTCAACTAGCTTACCGGCCAGCCTGCTTCTCTTCTTCCGCGCACTCTGCATCTTTGTCTCATCAGATGCACCACTACCAGGCGTCTCGGAGGCTTTGGCAGACACCAGGCCTAAACCAGTACCATTCTTCTCAAAATGAAGTAATGCACAGTTCATTGAGAAGGGCATGAGAACACCATCTACAGAGTTCCCATCTCCATCAGAAACTGAGACTACTGCGCAATAGTTCCTTCTACTAAGGAACACCAAAATTAGCTGCCAAATTGGCTTGGCGACCCCTAATCGATCCTTCTCATCACCAAGGATCAATTCAAGAATCCGATGAGGAAAATACTCCTTATCTACAGCTTCTTCCCCGTCACCCTTGCTCCCCTCCCGTTGGAACCCTCGAACCACGGCAACATCACCATCCACACCCATCAACCGCTCCCAATTCCCCACCTCACATACCGACTTGACATGTATCCTGCACACAGCATTGCCGCTGGCCTGCTGCAACCGTGCGGAGCCAACCACCTCGACGTCACAGCCCTTGCAGACGAGTGGCTTGCCCTCCACATCCGCGATCTCCAACACCACCTCCCCTCGCCGTCCACCTACCACGTAGCCAAGTCCAACACCTCCCCACACGAGCGCCGGCGGCGTAACGGCCGACCCCAAAGCGACGGCATCGGCGGTAGTGAACCACCATCCAAGTTCGGTGACCGCCTTCCTGATCCCCTCACTGGCGGAGGCGGAGGAGGAGGGGACGGCGACCCAGCACACCTGTAGGCCAGTCGCCGAGAGGCGGTCCCTGACAGGACCGAAAACCTTGCGGAATTTGTCGACGAAGCTGGCGCCGTCCCCGAACTCGTCGAATTCCGCGGCGGGCGTGAAGAGAGCCACCAAATTGGGCGGCGGATCGAAGCCGCGGCGGCGGCGGCGGCGGCCCTGGGGCTCGTGGTCCCAGGAGTAGTCGTGCTCGAGCTGGAGGAGCGACTTGGCAACGGACGATGAGGCGGGGACACGCGGGTGCGCGGGGGCTGCCGCCCGGAGCGCCAGGCGGCGGAGCGGGGCGAGGGACGCGAGGGTGGCCGGGTGGAGGTCGAAGGAGAGCGGGGTGGGGGCGGCCGGGAGCGGCCTCAGGAGGAGGGAGGAGGAGAGGATCGGGGAGAGGGAGGAGAAGAAGAGGCGCCCCGCGGAGAGGGACGCCGCGGACAGGGAGGCGGCGAGCAGGGAGGTGGCGGCGGGCAGGACAGCGGCGAGGTAGGCGGCGGCGGCGGGGGTGCTTGAGCTGGGGGTGGGGAGGAGGGGGTCGAGGTCGAGGAGGAGGACCACGCGGCGGGGCTCGCCGGCGCCGGCCGTCATGGCGGTGGCGGAGGGGAAGCCGAAGCCCGGAGGAAGAGTGGTTCGGTGGCAGATCTGTGTGCGGGTTTGGATTTGTTTTTGGCTCTTCTATATGTTTTTTTCGTGGCACAAGGGAGGAGGGGTTTCCAAACTTTTGGCGGGAAGGTTGAACGAGCCGGCGGAGAAGCGCGCGGCCCAGGGACTGGCTCACTGCTGGTGGGGCCAACTCACGACCGTGGCCGCGTAGAAGTAGGGGCGGCCGGCGACGAGGAATCGAGGATCACGTGAATGCTTCCCCATGCTTAGTTAGGTGGTGTTTGATTCATTTACTAAAATTCAGGAGATGTGTCGGGAGAGTGTTGTATGGATGTTCGGATACTGATGAAAAAATAAATTACATAATCCGTTAGTACTCCACGAGACAAATTTTTTAAGTCTAATTAATCCGTCATTAGCACATGTTTATTGTAGCACCATATTGTCAAATCATGGACTAATTAGGCTTAAAAGATAAAAATACAGTGCTGCTCCCTTCTTTAGCGTGGGGTTCTTTGTCGATCCCAATCTTTTACCATATGATATGACGTGAGCATCCGTCCGCACTACCTTATCCAGTACCACTCTTCAGTCCACTTCTAAAAAATAAAAATACAGTGCTGCTCCCTTCTTTAGCGTGGGGTTCTTTGTCGCAGGCAGGGCGAGGCCGCTTGCTGTGGCCTTCTCCAGCATGGCGACATCGCATCCACCCCCATCCCACACTGCTCCGCGCTCTTCTCCCCTTCTCCAGCGCAGCCGTCGGCAGGAAGGGGAGGTCTACGCTTGCGCTTGGGTGTACGCTGGGATGTTGACATCCTCCTGCAATTCCCCACCAGGTAGGCCGTGGCCGCCGACTCTTGTTTCAAGTGTTTCAGACATTTCAAATTTTTGTTTCAAGTGTTTCATCCGAATGTTGCAAAAGTAGATATGGATGTTGGATCTGTTTTCTAAGTGTTTCAGACGTTTCAGACTTATGTTTTAAGGGTTTCATCTGAATGTTGCAAAAGTCGATCCGGGATGCTGCATATGTTGCAATGGCAATATATGCATGTTGCAAGCCTATGTTTTAATTATTTCATTTGTTTCAAATGTTTTTATCTGGATGTTTCAAAAGTCGATCTGGTGTTGCACATGTTGCAACGACTATACACGCATGTTTCAAGTGTTACATCTGTCTTCAGATATATGTTGCATATGTTTTATCTCAATGTTTCAAGAGTAGATTGGGTGTTGCACATGCTAGGATGACGCCGGTGGCTGGCGGAAAGCGACCTGCCGCGTAGAGCTTCGGCTCCTACCTTGCGCCTTCCTCGCAACGCGCCTTGCCCCCTCCTCTCCTCTCCCTCCCCTCCCTTCCTTTCCCTCCATCTCGACGTGGCAGTTCGAGCTTGACCTGAGCGGGATAGGCGCGGGGCGAGGGAGCTACGTGCGTCGGACGCAAGCACTGGAGCTCCGTTCGGAAGGACGCCGCCTCCGGAGCGAGATGAGCATGGGGCGGAGAGAACTGCGTGCGTTGCGGTAGGGAACGGGGTGCAGGCGCGGACATCCGTCCGGACGTCCATGCGCTAGCACTAGCGAATCGTTTAACCGCGGTCCCATTCTCCTTTATACTACTCTACTACGTACTCTGTACACACAAGTGTTCCGAAGAATATGTACAACAATGTTACAATGGTGGTACTTAGTCAAAAAAAAAACTTCTGGTTTTACCGTATCATTTGCATCCGGTGCTTAAAAAGAAGACAATATCACACTGATGCTTAATGTGTGCTCCTATAAGGTGGGGTGTATAACTTATTTAAAGCACAATTTTGTATGATAGAATTAGCTTCTACAGCAGGGCTTAATGATGTGACAATACTCGTTTTTTTTAAAAAAAAAACCTGTACTCATGCCTAATACCTCGAGGATCATCTGGACTCCTGGCTCCTCACTAGCACAACGAAAAACTATACTGAACTATACTGTAGGATCAACCTTCGTTCTGCTGCCCTTGAACCCGGCTTCATCCGCTTCTTTTTTCATCCGAAACAGTGTTTTTCTCTCACAACATTTCATCCGGAACAATATTTTTCATCCACTTTCCTCCAAAAACCCTCCAGACGAACGGGGCTAGGCGCAAAAAAAGAATCCTACAAACTCAGCCAGCACATTGCAACATCTTTTTTCTCTTATGCTATTTGTTAAATCATTCACATACCTGGAGCTCACAGAGAACGACTTAATTGTTGTAGAATTCTCGGAAATTTTAGTGCGCTGACAGCGGCCAATTAGGATTTTTATCTATTCGACAACACGGCAAAATAAATGACAGCCAGCGAGATCATCTCCAATTAAAAACATGATACTATTAACAGAAGTGGCATCGCAACACATTTTGATGCCTTATTTTACAGAAGATCGTCCCACATATGAACACAGTTTATTCCTCTTATTTGCTTTGGTGCAGGATTCAGAGGTCTGGAATCTAATGACAAAGTATGCATAATAACCAGAAAAAAGTATACAGAAATAATAATCGAGATCCAAAACAGTGTGATAAACACTATAAAGCAGTCGAAATTCACTGTTCACGGCTGAAAATCACTGTTCACGCTCTCACAAATTCCTGATTCATCCAGATTCTCCAAATTCCTCCCAGCGAACAGGGCCTGAGCTGCCAAAGCTTCTCCTGGACATCATCAGGGTACCCCAAAGGGTACTGGGCCACGTTCTGCTTTCAAGAATTGGTTACGCAGCTACCTGCCCGAAAAGGCTTTGACGGATCTGTAAACATACGAATGCCAAAGAAAGGTTGTCATCAGACCAGAGATGTGAGGGAAGATGCACGGTAAGTTGAACAGAATCACTTCTGAAATCATAATGTCAAAGGAAACAGGAAAACGCTGGCAGCTTCTTTCTGAAAACCACTTGTAACCTAGCATCCAGTGTGTTTTCACAGACAATCTTTCCATCTCGGGAAGCTAGCACGACTCCACCGGAGCTACATTGAGAGGTATAACAGTAAGCACTGTGATGCACAATCTTAACATGCATTAAATAAACATGATTAGATTCTTCTGATAACTGACAGGAACAGATCTTGTATGCTTATTCCAGCCTCCAAAGAAGTGTTTCACTCAAATATGATTATAAAGCTATAGTGCTATACAATAATAAGGCATTTCCTCCTATGCATATTGCAGTGATGCCATAAGAAAATTTGGAGAGTAAATACGGGGAGAATAACACACACGCCCACACCACACAAAAGGTTCTATCATTTCAAAAGGGGACCGACAATATCCTTCCTTTAGAGTTTAGACATTTATGACATAATAATAGACTAAAGATATAGTATCAAAACCAGAAATCCAGTAAACATGAAATGTAGTGTATGAAAAAATGGCAGTAGACAGTATCATAAAAGGAGATCTTGGTTCATAAGCCATGAATGACTGCAAGCCTTACCAGGAGGGACCAGGTGCCTGATAATGACTGGGAGCAGATGGCAGATAGATATGACGGTCTACCACTATCTCAGGAGGATATACATTTGCTTTATCTGCATACTCATTGCTTGCAGACTCCAAAAACTGAATCAACAAGTTCAAGATCCTCCTTCCTGCAGCGGAGAAGCACAGCTGGTTCTTTCAGGCGCAGCAAACTCTGTTCAGATAAAACTTTGCGTTAACTGATGCTTAAATCACTGAAGAATGGAAATAGAGGTTAATGTGAAGCCATATCTAAGACACTCTACTCATGTACATTGAATGCATATACCAAATGCAGCGTCAACCACTACAATTACTTAAAAAGTCCAATAAAAAAGTTACACCAAGAGCATGGTTAAAAAATCATGACTTGTATATTACCCAAAATCAGGCATGCTATTCTTTAGTGTAAGGAACAGAACCATGGTTTTTTCATAGAAAAGCTGAATTGTTTTATATCATCTGAAAATATCTAGCCAATTTTCAGCTATATTCAGCTTGGCAATTGGATTGGTGTTATCCCCAGCAATTAGAACTTGAACAGACTACTGGTCCATAGCAACCAGGAAATGAGCTGAAAATGGAATACGCAGCACAACAGAAATAGCCTGCTTCCTTTATTTTTTTTACAACATTTAGCTCTCTGCGTTCAGTTAAAATGAGCTATTGCTTGCAGTAGCTGCACCAAGTTCATGCTTCATATTCGCATAGAAGAATGCAAATTATGTTCTGCTAACCTGAACAATAAGTATCTTGAGAAGTTTCTTGTAAGTTTGGTGATCTCGGCTTATGCGCAGTAGATCTTTCCTTGCTGACTCCAACATATCTGTTACCAAGTCATCCTGAGCTTGAAGAACTTTAATTCTGGAAGCACTGAGCTGCATCGAGTAGTCACTGCATACAATCACGCACAATAAGATCATTGAATTGTCCGCATGTGTGTCACAGGCATGCCAAAGGTGGGAAATATCCATAATGGCCTGTAGCGAATAGCTATGTCCTTTGCAAAGTGTGAAATAGGTAAAACAGAAATAAGTCACAAGAATGAGAATGAGAATAAGAACTTAAGTACGAACTATTATTTACATTTTCTTCTTGATGCCAACTTGCTTCTCTTTCCTATCATATTCCTGCCTGATCTTCTTCTTTTCAGCTTCCACCAGTTGCAATTTTTCAATTTGGTACTCCTGAGTAGTTAACATACACATCAGTTCATAGAAAAAGTGGCAGAGCTTTTAGATTTAAAAGCACACTACGCCAAATCATGACATCACTCAGTTCATGCTCTCTGTGGTACAAGTGTCACCGTTGTCCAATAGCAATGTGTGTGGACGAAATCTAACAGGAGTGAACAGAGTAGTTCGTTTACTTTATTATAACTGAATTTGGATTACACGGTTGCACTAGAAACAACCTTGTAAAAAGGAGTTGTACTAAATGCAGGACAAGCGGGTGTCTCGTCCAGCAGCAACACTGGAAAGCAGGTAAATTGTTTAGCATATTTGGACTTCATACTAAAACTAGCAACGGACACAATGTCGCAGTTTTGTAATGCAGACGACGGACTCCTAACCCCCGCAGCCTAACTTGAAGATCACAGACCCAGCATTGCCCGATCCCCGCCCAATTCGCTCGACCCACCCCCTACCCAACGGCGCATTGCGCGATCCTACGACGCCGCACGAGATCCGAACCTGCGCGACGCGGATCTCGCCGACCCATCACGAGATTCAGACCTGGAAACCCTCTAGAAGAGAATGCGCGGGGGGGAAGGGCGGGGACACGGGTACCTCGGCGGCGGCGGCCTCGATCTCGACGGCCTTCTCGACGGCCTCCTGGCGGATGAAGTCAGTCATCTGCATCAGCTGCCGCGACACGTCCACGTCCTCCATCTTCGCGGGCAAACCCTGTGACCCTTCCGCTGCTCCGCGTGTTCTCAGGTGATCGCCGGGTCGGCGGGAGGCGGAGTCGCCGCAGCGGTGGGTTTTGCTGATCTCAAGAGGAGGCGATGCGTCGTACCGATTTGTTTTTATCTGACGCGGCCTCTGGCGGAGAAGGAGAAGAGGTTTTGTTTGGAGGCCCTGAGATAATTTTTTTTTTCTGTTTTCTCGGTAATATCCGACGCGTACACGAGCTTGGACTAGTGGACCTGAACTTGGACCAGAAAAAGGAGACCGGCATTAATGGGCTGGCCCCTTGAAACAGTTTCGGCCCAAATAAACAGACATTATCATCTCCCATGAGACATTATCACTTGATTTCTCAAAAAAAAAAATAGAGAGACACATTATCACTTCAACCGAATACTCCATCTGTTTCAAATTATAAAATATTTTGCTTATATCTAAGTTCATAGGAAAACTATGTATGAGGGGCGGGTCTAGTGCAAGCGGCAGAATCTTACCGTATGTGACCGGAAGGTCCCGGGTTCGAGTCGCGGTCTCCTCACATTGCACAAGCGAGGGTAAGGCTTGCCACTAACACCCTTCCCCAAACCTCGCACAAAGCGGGAGCTCTCTGCACTGGGTACGCCCTTTATAAAAACCAAAACATTTTATAATTAGAATGGAGTACTAGAAAAGATAAATGATTCTGCCCCCTTCAACCGAAAGCACTAGTTTTTGCCAAAAACAAATATGTTTAACCCTTCTTCGTATAATTTGAAATTATACGTGTTATAGTTGTGTAATATTTCAAAAGCTCTTGTGCTGTATGCGTGCTATGTGGGTACTTGTATATATCGGAAAGAGTAAAATGCACTGTATGTCCTCAAACTATTGGCTCCTTCCCATCTACGTCCTCAAACTATTAAACCAACTATCTAGGTCCCTGATCTATTTCCGCGGCACACGCACGGTCCAGATGCAGCCACGTCAGCCACATAATCCGACGTGGTCGTGCCAGAGTGGCAGATGAAGGGCGAGGTCATCGCATTTTATCAACCCCCCCGCGAACGTTGTCTTCCTTACTTTCAACTGCAGCCACCCTCTCCCCCAATCTCTGTCAGCCGAGAGAAGGCAAGGGCGGGCCGGGGCGGCGGCGAACTCGCGGGTAGGGAGAGATCACGAGGGCGGGCCGGGGCTGCGGCGAACTCGCGGCCCCACCAACGTCGGTGTCAACGAGCTCTGCGGTGGGTGCCGCCCGGCCGCACAAATTGCGGCGCGGCGGCACCATGGCAGGGCATCGACGATTGAAAGGGGAGCTGGCTCCAACCTATGGTAAGTGCCCTAGAGCTGTATCCTATACTCAATGCTATCTCTGCCAGATCAATTTGGAGGCGTAGTAGTTGGTCTGGTAGGCTTGCTTGATATGCTCTGATTCGGTGCTTAAATTTAGGGTTGTTTTTCGTTCTTTAGGGCCTGACGATGAAGAGTTTTCTGTGGAAGTGCATCATAATGGATTTTTCTGTGGGTCTGGTGTTGATCGAGTGTACCTCGATGGCAAGGTCGATTGGTTCGACAATATCAAAGTCTTGATCTTGGTCTTTTAATGCAGTAGATGAGATATCAGTGGTGCTAGGTTATGATCTGGGTGTTCCAGTGTGGTGGTTGTTGCCTAAGCAGGACTTGTCAACCGGTTTGCGTTTGATTGCATCAGATAAAGAAGCACAGATAGTGAAGCAAGTTGCATTTAAGGTCAAGAATTATGTGCTTTATATGGACCATTACAATACTGTTGATGGCAACAACTGGGAGGACATTGTGTACAACCCAATTGCAACCATACCCAAGGTGCCTGCCCCTGCTAGGACAGAATGTGCTGATGGTGATGACAGTGAATGCAGTTCAGATGTTGATTTTGTTGACAGTGACTATGCAATTCGAGATGATGATGATGACCTTTTTTGTGATGATGTTGATGAAGGTGTGGTTGATGAGGGTGCTGCAAAGGGGATAATGGTCAGAGCAGGGAGGAAAAGATTTGGCCCAGTAGACAATGAACCAGTAGGCAAAGAATGGGATGAGTTGGACTCTGATGAAGAAGAATTAGAGCTACCAGAATCTGGTGAAGAGGGTAGGGCTGGGCAGAACATGAGAAGTTTCAGACCTGAAGATTTGCAGAACCCAATTTTCAAAGTTGGCATGAAGTTTGATTCAGTAGAGATGCTTAGAAAGGCAATTATTGAATATAGTATCAAGAATAGAGTGGAGATAAAGATGCCCAAGAATGATAGGACTAGAATCAAAGCTCATTGTGATGAAGAATGTCCATGGTACTTGTATGCTTCAGAAGACAAAAGGGTGGATTGTTTTGTCATCAAGACTTATGTTGGGACTCACACATGTCAGAAAAAATAGGTATTGAAAAGGTGTACTGCAAAATGGCTTGCCAACAAATATGTAGAGAGGTTCAGAGCTGATGAGAAGATGAGTTTGTCAAATTTTGCAAAGATAGTGCAGCTGGAGTTAAATTTGACCCCATCCAGGAACAAATTATCTAGAGCTAGAAGACTGGCTTGGAACTTGATATATGGAGATGAAGTGCAGCAGTACACTGAGTTATGGGACTATGGGCAGGAACTTAGGAAGACAAATCCAGGAAGCACTTTGTATTTGAAATTGCTTGATGGTTGTTTCAGTTCATTGTATTTCTCATTGGATGCATGCAAGAGGAGATTTTTAAGTGGATGCAGACCTGTTATATGTCTTGATAGTTGCCACATCAAGACTAAATTTGGGGGTTAGTTGCTAACTGCTGCAGGAATAGATCCTAATGATTGTATATTTCCTGTTGCAATGGCAGTGGTTGAGGTGGAGTGTCTTGCTTCTTGGAAGTGGTTCCTAGAGCACTTGAAAGAAGATCTAGGAATAGAGAATACTACACCTTGGACCATCATGACAGATAAACAGAAAGGTTTAATCCCTGCTGTTCAGCAAACCTTTCCTGACTCTGAACATAGGTTTTGTGTTAGGCACCTCTACTCCAACTTCCAGGGGCAGTTCAAAGGGGAAAACCTGAAAAATCAGCTTTGGGCTTGTGCAAGGGCAAGTACAGTGCCAAAATGGAATCAAGAGATGGACAAAATGAAACTACTCAACAAAGATGCCCATGCTTGGTTAGAGAAAATGGCCCCAAACACTTGGGTTAGGGCATTTTTTAGTGAGTACCCAAAATATGATATTTTGCTGAACAATACCTGTGAAGTGTTTAACAGGTACATTTTAGAAGCTAGAGAACTTCCTATCTTAAGCATGCTGCAAAGGATCAAGGGACAGCTCATGGCCAGGCACTACAACAAACAAAAAGAAGTGCAAGAGAAATGGAGAGGGATGATGATCTGTCCAAAGATCAGGAAGAAATTGACAAGACATGCAGAGATGGCCAACACATGCTATGTAATACCAAGTGGGAGTGGTGTATTTGAGGTTCATGACAGGGAGTGGCAATTTAATGTAGACATTGGAGGAAGGCATTGCGATTGCAAGAGGTGGAGCTTGACAGGTATACCCTGCAGTCATGCAATTTCTTGCCTGAGGCATGAGAGGATACTTGAGGAGTCAGTGCTGCCCTGGTGTTACTCTACTGAAGCTTTTAAGAAGACATATGGATGCTACATTCACCCATGCAATGACAAGTCCACTTGGGAAAAGGTTGGTGGCCCACAAGTTCAACCACCTGTGTATGAAAAAAGGGTTGGAAGGCCACCTAAAGCTAGAAGGAAAGCATCACATGAAGTTGGTGGACCAAATGGGCCAAGACTAACCAAACATGGAGTAACCATGCATTGTAGTCACTGTAGAGAACCTGGGCACAACTCAGCAACCTGTGAGAGAAAGAAAGCAGGAGAACCAGCAGTGAAAAAATCAAGGAAGAAAGCTAGTCCATCTGTGCCAGATCAACATTCCAGCCAACAACCTGCCACTGTCCAGGTTTGTGCAAAACCAACCAAATGCTTAATTGGATGACATTATATGAAACTCATTTGTAACTTTCTTTAGGAGATGAACCTGCAAGAAAGTGTAACACAACCACTTATGTCAACTTTGGAGTATCCAATGGTGTCACAACTGCAAGATGAGGCAACACCTTCTTCCCAGCTCCTAGCACTATTTTTTTCTCCTTTGTAAGACTAATAATTGGATCCCATTGTTGCAGGCTGCCCAAGCTGTGAGGCAAACTGCAGTGAGGTAACATATTCCAGATTGTGCCTACATCAGCTCCAATCTCCCACCAGCAAGACACATGCCACTTACAACAACATCCAAGATTGTGAGGGCCAGCAGGGTACCCGCAGAGAAGAAGAAGAAGGCAGCCAAGGCCAAATCCAAGTCTAAGAAAGGGACAAATGGAGAGAAGTGAAGACAGTGTGGTGTCTTACTTTTGTGTAGCAACTCATCTTTTTTTCTTTTATGCAAAGAATGGTCGCCTTTTGTCAAGCAACTAAGCTTGCCTTTTGTGCAAAGGATCATAGATATATAGATCATTTGCAATGCAAACATGAGGGGTGGTAGAAGGAATGGCCTAAACTATGGTATGTAATCTGCAGTGACTGATGGTCAAAGAACTAATGGCCTAAGCTATGATATGTAATCGCAGGATCGAATTGACAATGAAATTCCAAAGATCTGGTCTATGTCACCATGTTATCAACTTCATCATTTGGTGCAAGAGAATTGCATAAAAGCTAACTCAAACATACTTGCATTGATACAAACTCATATTCCATTCATTGAACATGAACATGGTTATTACAAACTTGTAAATGAAACATACTTGAACACATGGTTCAAGAGAGGTACTAAGTCGCCACTTCTACATGAAAAACATAGTTATTACACCTGAACAAGAAAAACAAAGAAGAACTACAAGGCACACTTTGCTACAATTTTTTCTAGGTCTACCAACTTCACGTAGCTTTTTCACTACTCTATCACTTCCATTCTTCGAGAGACACTACATCGACAAAACAAAGGTGTCAATTCAGTCTTGTTTGCTTCCACTACTCCCTCTAAGCGTCCAATTGCAATCTTGATCTCGCTCAACTTCATTCATGGAATCCTCCCCGCCTAATGCCAAGGCGTCGAATCCTCTCTTCTCCACCAATCCCTTGGCAATCAATGACTTCTCATACTTGTCGGCAAACAAATACCAAGGGCAAGTTGTAGAGTCCTGCAATTTGTACAGTAAGACTACAACAAGAGTATCATCGCTGTTGAACAGGGAGGGAACAATTGAAGAGGTCGGCACTTGCATCTCTCTCATGGAGCCGGCACTTGAAGAAGATGGCCCTCGGGACCTTAGATCCTGGACCCGAAGTGAGCTCGATGATCTCCTCGCCGCATTTAGGGCACGGCACAAGGGGCAGCCCAGTGCGCGCGCCCAATCTCAGGGGCCCAACCCTCTGCGCGGATGACGAGCTGCCGAGCGACATCGCAGACTGCGTGGAGGCGCTACGGACCGAAGAATGCGGGCGCGGGCGGCCGGACCGGAGATAGCGGCCGCGGGCGGCGAGCAGCCTGAATAAGATTGGGGAAGAGAAGGCCGGAGTACCAACTAATGAACAGAACATTGGCGGGGGCTTTTCTGCTAAATTGGCATGACATCGCCCTTCATCTGCCACTCTGGCACGGCCACGTCGGATTATGTGGCTGACGTGGCTGCATCTGGACACTGCGTGTACCGTGGAAATAGATCAGGGACCTAGATAGTTGGTTTAATAGTTTGAGGACGTAGATAGGAAGGAGCCAATAATTTGAGGACCTACAGTGCATTTTACTCTATCAGAAATATTTCCTGATGGATACAGTGTGCTCAAATTATTGCAGATACAATCATACAGGCAAATTGTTGTAAAAAAAAATTCATACAAGCAATTATCTGATGGTCCATCATTTGTGTTGTGCAATCTGACCAATATACACAAAGCTCACAGATCTTTATTCTCATAATATATATATAGATAGATAGACATGCATGTGCATGCACTGATGCACGAAAGAAAATCCTGAGCAAGCAAACACCCAACCCAAGAACACCATCAGTCAAACGTCCAAAGCACAAGATGTTGCCGCTCGAAACGAAACTCATGCAGGACCGCAACGGGAAGCTTCAGAAGTAGGGGAAGCGCGCCCTCATGGTCAGCGACGGAAAGGACTCCTGGCAGAGGGCGTCGAGCTTCCACTCAGGCAGGGGGACGGCGTCCACCGCGCGCCTCTCTTTGCCGCGGCGGCAGGCGTCCACCGAGGACGGAGTGCCAGGGCTGATGGGCTCCTTGCCCGCCGCGTCGACGGTGCCATCGCCAGCCAACGGCCTTGCCGCCGGGACGATGGTCACCTCCGGCAGCCTGCTCTTCCCCTCCATCTGCGGATCTCCCTCGGAGTCTGAAGAGGTCTTGTCCTAGCTGATATCTCTTCACAGTAACTTGATATGGGTTTGCGGTTTTTATCTACTTTGCAAAGAAGGCGAAGGTTTTGTCTCCTTTTATGCTAAACGGATAAGATCAAAGTGGGTGGACATTCTTTCCGCAGTTAGTGGCGCTGATAGTGATGACTCAGAAGTGCATGATTATCTTCTTCTTGTTGTTTTTAATAATTGTGGCTGGCCTACGTTATCCTCTTCTCGAGTCAATCCTGTAGAATGGCCCCATGTGTCAGCTAAGTACACCCACCAAGCCACCAAAGTACCAGGTAAACACATTCAAGAAGATAGCAACGCTGCAAAATATCCTGTGATCACTCACACTCAGGTGTCAGCAGTGGAGACAGGAAATGACTAAGTACCGGGCCTGTTCGCTGGTTGGTGCTGGTTTGGGCTGGCTGGTGCTGGTTTTTTTAGAGAAAAACACTATTGGCTGGCTGGTTTGGGCTGGTTAAAACCAACAAGCAAACAGGCTGATTTTATGATCACCCTGTTCGGTTGACTGGTTCGTTTCGTTGCTGGTTCGTGAAGAAGTACTGCTGGCTGGTTTGTGTGAGAGAAAAATACTGTTCCGGCTGGAAATTTACGATCGTTTACGACAAGCCACAGCCAAACGAACAGGCTGGATGTTGATAACACCCTCAAAAGCATGTTCCACGTACAGGGTCACCCAGAATCTGCAGAAGAAATGGATGCCAACATATTTTCAGATTCATGGCTCTCATGTTAATCAAGACTAAATGTGAACAGGCACACGCCCCCTTGAAGACCGAATATGAGCAACAAGCAAGTTCTTCCCCTGTCATCAATCTAGATTCTAGGATCTATACTAGCAGAGATTGAACTACCAAAGGCCTACAGTACATGGCTACATACATGAACAATTATACAACAAAAACAACAGGCACGGTGTCAGACCTGGAACCGGAAGCGGAAGCTATCACAGGCCGAACAGATTGTCGTTGGTGCCAAAGATGGATCCACCGAACTGCCTAGTGTTCAAGTCTCCGCCATCCAAGGCCGACGGGAACCTGTCGAGCCACTGGGTGAGGATGGGGCCGTCAGAGTCCTCCACCCATGCTGATGTCATGTCGATTGTATCCAACGCGATTGGATCCGCATCCAACTTCTTCTTTGTCTTTGGTTCAGAGTGCAGCGTGAGATTGTAGTGCACATAGGCTTGGTCGGCCAAAGCCTCCTTGTCAAGCTTGTTGCGCTTTTCATAGTGGTTCTGAAGGATTAGACCCCAGTCTCTTTGGAAAGTCAGGGTGCTGCAAACCTGGCTGGTTATTCTGACAGCAGCACGTTGCAGTGATGGTGCTGAATCGCCGTATTGTTCCCACCACATGCCTGAGCACAAGGGCCATAAAAATACACTGAGAAAAACAGAAATACGAGAGTGCCTAAACGATGATAAGTTGCATCTGAAATATCTTCAACCTGGATTAGTGCATCAAAGTTCAAAGATACATATTCATGGGCTACAACAAAAATGCGACAATGAGATGGACAGCGACCTCAAAGTACCATGCCGCTTAGACACTTTGTGGAGTGTAGGATTAAGCCCCAGTGAGGTACCAAGAGAAAAGTTCACATATAACAGCAAATTAACAGTATATGACATATTAACAATGTAAATAGCCAGTAATACTGGATAACCCAAGTTTCATAAAAAAATATTGGATACCCCAAAACAACTTTACTGATGTTCTGTTAAAAATAGCAACGTGAATACAGAAAAGCAATTCAATAATATTAGAACAATGTTGTGGCATTCAAGAATATTAAGCTGACATAAGAAATGATACATGATGCATCCTCTTAATGAAATATGTGCAAAGCCATGTTAGCTAAAAAAAAAGACATGATGCATACCTGGTGAGGTATTGTTGCGGGCCTCTTTAGCAATGTTAGAACCAAACATCCCTTGTGCCTTGCGGAAAGCATGCAATTGTGCAGTGATATCATGCCTTAGGTCAGGGGTTGTAAGAACCTTATCCAGAACCAGGTAGAACTCCTCCTTGATAGTACTGAAAAATTTTATTTCCGGGTTATACTGGATGCTTGGGCTCAGAAAAGCGGCTGCTGAATGAAGAGGTGAATGCAATTCTGTCTGCCATTTCTGCTCCACTATGTCCAGAAATGACTTACATTTCCCTTCATCCATTATGTAGTATGTCCTAATAGAGTCCGTCACTTTTGTCATAGACTCATATATATAACCAATGGCCGGTTTGCCTCCTGAAACATCCCTCATGACCCTCAGTAAAGGTTCAGAAACAGCAACTATCTCTTCGACTGCTCTCCAAAGCTCATCATCGTTGAGTATCTCAACACACGGAATTGACCTACTTGCATATGACGAAGATGAATATTCAGTGCTATGAAACATTTGCTTCAGCTTTGACCTGTGTTTCAACAAGGATTTCAGTGTGAGAAAATCTGATACAGACTTTGTGATCCCTGAACAAACAAGCTCTTGCCCTGCCAAGTACTTTCTCATAAAATCAAGAACCCACTTATTGTTGTAGATAAATCGTGTTATGGTCTGTGCTTGGCAGATGCACTGGTTCACCCAATCAATCTTGGAGAAGTCATCTAACATCGAGTTAATGCAAAAAGATGCACAGGGGGACCAGAAGATGGTGTTGTAGTTCTGCATGATCAGCTTATCTATACTGCCGTAGTTTATGTTTCTGTCAGCAATTATCTGAACAACATTCTCTGGGCCAACTTCCTGAATCACCTCGTCAAAGAGATCATACAAGCCTCTGTGAGTTTTGAAGTGCGAAGAGGCATCCACTGTTTTGAGGAAGAATGTTCCCATAGGAGACGCCACGGAGAAGTTGATTAGGGCTTTCAGCTTGTTATCAGTCCACGAATCAGCCAATATAGTACAACCAGTTGTCACCCAATCCTTTTCAATCTCCTTTGTTTTCTGCATAATCTCGGACTTGAGCCTCTGCAACCACTTGTCTCTCAGAACATCTGCTGGCGGCCCTCGGCATCCCGGACCACCAAGTGCCTCAAGCATTTGCTGGTATGAGACTGAGTCAGCTATACTATAGTCCAACTTATTCTCGAAAAAGAACTCAGCTATGCACCGTTCTGCATCCAATTCTGAAGCAGCGGCGCGTGACTTGTTTGCCGCACCAGATAGTTTCGGAGCAGGAGCAGACACTTCCGGGGCAAGAAGCCGACTCTGCTCAGCAGCAAGAGTAACAGCAGGAGAGCTCACTCGCCCCGGAGAAGTAGACAGGGACGGAGCCTCCGGCGCCCTTTTTGGGGCCACCGACATTTCGGCTACGCGCTGCCTCTTGAGAAGCTGGAACTCCTTGTACTCTTCCTTGGCCGAGATGATGGCCTTCACCTTGTCAATGACGTCTTCCTTCACCTTGGTGCAAGGGTTCACCCCTTTGCTGGGGATCTGGGACAGGTGGAACTTGAGCCTGCTGATGCCGCCGTTGAGAACCTTGTGACAGAACCTGCACCTGACCTTGTTTCCATCCAGCTTGTCGCAGTACTCCCAGCAGGCGTCTCTCTCCCGCACTGGGGCAGTGGACAGTGAAGAACGTGCAGGAAACAGGAACGCAGCACATTAGCATTGATACATGAACGTTTTGGGTTATAGATGGAGCAGGGAAATTACTTTATGGTGCGGCAGCAGGGCTTCAGACTGTGGTATCTGCAAATGAATAAATGTAGGGTCCATAAATGTATTAGTTTCCACATAAAAAGAAAACTGCTCCTGATGAAATGCAGGTATCGTAACTGATATAGGGCATACTCGGATCAGCTAGAGCTAGAGTTAGCTAACAACTGGTTGAAGGTTTAGCTAAAAACTAGCCCATCTATTAGCAATTAGACCCACCCCCCTCATGTGTTGGATGCACCAGGGTTAATTTTGGCTAATTTTTAGCTAGCCCTTGTGTATTGAGTTTCTACGGTCCAGCAGCATTTGGCAGTTGTATTGAGTTAAGTCAGTTATTAAACAAAACCCAAACAAATCCGCTTGAGCTTCCCCCAAACAAATCCGAAGTCAGAACCAGCCACGAGTTGGTCCTGGTGGATTGGAGCTACTACTACATCTCTTGGGCAGAGCAGCAAAACGGAGCGGCCGGCGATTGATTCGTCCCCGTTTCCCTTCAAACCAACCCCACGTCCCCACCTTCCCCTCCAAACCCCCCGGATTTAGGCTCCCCATCAAGCAGCAGAAAATGTTTAGTCCCGGGCATGAATGATCAGGCAGTTCAGCATCCGACCCCCATGGAGCATGAATGGATCCACTCGGATCGCAAGCTACTACCCTCTAATAGTTCGCGAGAAGTGACCCGCAGGCGAGATCTGGAAGGTCTCGAGCTCTGGAAATCGTGGGTGCAGAGGAGAGGAGACGAGCAGGAGGTGCAGCTGACCTGAGCCGCCTCCGAGCTGAGGCGAGCAGAGCTCTGCTCCCGTTCTGGGAGTTTATTTCGGGAAGGGAGGGAGGGAGGGAGGAGGGATATTTTTCTTCTTCTTCTTCTTCTTCTTCTTCTCTTCTCCCCGATTTATCGCCGAGCTCCTGTGGGTGGTGGTGCGGTCGTCGGTCGGCTGGCCGTCGCCGCGAGCGCAGAGCGGAGTCGTGGGAGGCTGCGGGTGGGGAGTCTGGGATGCGAGTGCGGGGAGAAGAACGAAGACGGGTGCGCGAGATGCCACGAGATGATGGACAGACGGCTCCGGGCTCTCTCTATTTGCTTGTCTTGCTCTTGTTGTCCCCCTCGGCAACTGAGAGAGAGAGAGGGGCGTGCGTGAGGCGTCTTTCTCTCGTATAGAGAGATTTCGTGAGGCAAGCCCTACCGCTAACATACTGGGCCTTGGTGGGCCGGCCCGAGAGCGAGGACGACCGGCCCGGTGCGCAAGCAAAACAGAGAGACGTCGTCGACTCGTCGGTCGGTCCGTCCGTTGCTTCGTTTCCTCTAGCTGCTTCCACCCGATCGTGGATGGAAGAACTATGGAAGCAAGCAGGAGGAAGGGGAAGACGAGGCGAGCGAGATGCTTCGTTCAAGGTTCAGCAATGGTTGAAGCGGGTGGAGCTGGCGCCGTGGCCGAGGCCCGGACGCGAGTGTGTGTGCGGCGTGAGTGACGTCAGGCGCAAAAGCGCGTTGTGGGCACGCCGGACGAGCCGAAGGCGTTCGGCGAAATGCCTCGCTGCAAGAGCGCGTTGTGGGCACGAGTCTTGGCTTCATGAGAACCCTGTAGGCGTCAACAAGGCAAGACCGCAAGAGGTAATGCCGGTTTCTTCACGTCAGTTGTGTGTGTCGTGTCAGAGACTTGCATGAGTGACTGTGTCACTGCAAAATTGGTGGAGATCAATTCAGCATCACGTTGACTGGACACCAGATTTTGCAAAGATTCTTCTATTTAGCAAGACTTCGTGAGAACACTGTCGGTCTCAAGAAGGCAACAGGTATGCTGGTTTCTTCACGTCGGTTGTGTGTGTGTGTGTGGTGTCACAGACTTTTGCTTGACTTACTGCAACATCACGTTGAGTGGACACCAGATTTCGCAAAGAGTAGGTCGGCGGTAATGCATGTATGTACTAACAAAATATGAACGACGACCTCAATTCGCCATGCCAATAGTGGAACTTGGCAACTTGTTGCTGTGTCATGATAGGATCCATATACCCGGCCAACCTTCTTGGACCTGGAAAATAGGCCATTGCGACTGGCGTTCTTGACTCACGACTCACGAGCACATCTCTTCCTTGTTTTGCATATATCTGTTCGGTTAGAAAGGACTAACCACATACTTCATTGGGGGTTGACAAGGAGAAGTACATCCCCTAAAATGGTGGACACAAGCAGTTTGAGGTTCTTCTACTCATCTTCCTTTGCTTTACTACTTCCCTCCCTGATCAGCCTTGTATTTCCTTGCTGCAAATTAACATGTGCATTAGACACCCTCTTTCCTGGTCAATTCCTGAACGAAAATCAGAGCCTCATCTCAAAAAATGGTGCCTTCAAGTTGGGTTATGACTGCTCGATTCCTCAAGATAATTATTGTGGTTTGGGTATCTGGTTTGCTAAACCATCATATTGTATTCGTGAGTATTTCCCTCTTTGGCATCCTGATGAGTACTCTGGTTATAGATCAGCATCATTTACCCTCTCAGTCTCAGAGAATGGCGTTCTAAATTATACCATGGGTTGCTGCTATACTGATTTATTATCCACGCCCGGCACTACTTCCACTTCTATCTCTGCTGCTGCAGTGCTTCTTGACAATGGAAATCTTGTAATAAGAGACCGAGTAAACAGTTCCATGGTGATTTGGCATAGTTTTGATAACCCGACTAATGTACTGCTCTCTGGAGGACACCTGGGATTCAATAAAATCAATGGCAAGAAAATCACCCTTTTTAGTTCTTTAGACCCCTATGGCATTGGGTTGACGTTTACTTTGTCACTAGATGCAACTAGAAGGCGAGGTTTTATTATCCGGCAGCATCCTAATGGTCGGATGTTTGCTGGTACCTTCCCAGGATGGATGGACATTCATGAAGATGGAGACCATATGCTAACATTCAATGACGCATATACATACATACGTTTAAATGAATCTGGTTTTGTTAGATTCGCTAAACAAGGGGAATGCGATTCTATTTTGTGGTCTGCCCCAAAAAGTTTATGTGAATTTCATTCATATTGTGGACCTTACAGCCTTTGCACATTGTCGGGCTCTTGTATATGCCTTGTTGGTTTCAACTCACTATCGACTGATGCTACATGGATTTCTACTGGTTGTTTGAGAGATTACCCTCTGAGTTGTGAAAATGGGGAGGTGACATGTTATCCAATAGATGGCATCCATAGATATCCCCAGAAAGCTTTCACGTTGGAAGTTACAAACATGAGTGAGTGTGAATCTGCTTGCTTAAGGGACTGTACCTGTACTGCCTTTGCTTACAATGCAAGTTGCTTACTATGGTTTCGGGAGCTGCGGAGTACAATAGTACTTGACTCTGATCTAAATGGGCAACCGTTTGTACATACGTAGATCAACCAAACAACAGTCAGGTTCTATAATTGTTCCTTGGAATGATTCGCCTATGTTGTCTCAACATAGTAGGTCACAAGCCCTGGTAAAGGAGGAGGGTTGTGATAGGCGTGGCGAGCCAACGTTAAATCTAGCCATTCTAATGGAGACGAAACCCGAAAGAAAACCGTTGGGGCGTAACCCTCTTAGCGACGCGCCATATCGGAACCCGGGTATGGTGTTAAATGAGCAAGGGCCGGGTCATCACCCCCGTGACGCGCCGTGTCGCGATTTGGGCACGGTGTCAAGTGAGCAAGGATCGGGTCATCGCATCCTTAGTGGCGCGCTGCATCGGCGCCCAGGTGTAGTGAAAAATGAGCGAGGGTCTTCACATCTGAGTTGACGGGTGTGAAGGGTAAGGAAGCTAGTCGAACCAACTAGGATCCGTTTAGGTAGTTGGAATGTAGGGTCGCTTACAGGTAAGTTAAGAGAATTAGTTGATACCGCGACTAGGAGGCGTGTAAATATATTATGCGTTCAAGAGACTAAATGGAAGGGTCAAAAAGCGAAGGAGGTGGACAATACAGGTTTCAAGCTTTGGTACACAGGGACAGTTGCGAATAGAAATGGAGTAGGAGTTTTGATTGATAAGAGCCTCTAGAATAGTGTGGTGGGAGTGAGAAGACAAGGAGATATGATTATCTTAGTCAAGCTTGTCATTGGTGATATGGTCTTGAACGTAATTAGTGCGTATGCCCCCAAGTAGGCCTCGACGAGAGTGCTAAGAGACAGTTCTGGGAAGACTTAGATGGCCTGATTAGAGTTGTACCTAGTAGTGAGAAGCTTTTTATAGGAGGAGATTTTAATGGGCATGTAGGTACTACAAGCGCAGGTTTCAAGGCAGTTCATGGAGGTTTTGGGTATGGTAGTAGGAATCAGGAGGAGGAGGAAGTTCTGGACTTCGCGGTAGCTTTTGACCTGATGATAGCCAACACTTTCATTAGAAAGAAAGAATCTCATCTAGTGACCTTCAGTAGCGAACAACACTCTAGCCAGATTGACTTTGTCCTCACAAGAAGAAAGGACAAACGAGCATGCTTGGGTTGCAACGTGATACCAGGGGAGTGTGTTGTTTCTCAACATAAGCTTTTGGTGGCAGACTTTCGTTTTCAGGTGCGTGCCCATAGGGATAAACAAGCTAAGATTGAAAGAACAATATAGTGGAAACTGAAAGGGGAGACGTCAGAGGTATTCAGGGAAAGGGTTATCAAAGAGGGCTCTTTAAAGGAAGAAGAGGACATAAACAACATGTGGGAGAAGATGGCAACCAACATTCGAAAGGTGGCCTCAGAGGTGTGTGGAGTAACTAAAGGAAGTGGAGATGAGGCTAAAGATACTTGGTGATGGAACGAGGAAGTCCAAAGGGCTATTAAGGAGAAGAAAGAATACTATAGACGCTTGTACCAGGACAGGAGTATGGACAACATAGAGAAGTACAAGGTAGCAAAGAAGACTGCAAAGCGAGCTGTAAGTGTGGCAAAGGGTAGAGCATACGAGGATCTTTACCAACGTTTGAGTACGAAGGAAGGAGAGAATGACATTTATAGGATGGCTAGGGTTCGTCAGAGAAAGACAAGGGACTTTAACCAAGTTAAGTGCATTAAAGATGAAAGGGAGCATCTCTTGGTGAAGGAGGATGACATCCAACATCGATGGTAAGAGTATTTTGACAAATTGTTCAATGGTGAGAATACGGACACAACCTTTCAGTTGGATGACTCTTTTAATGACACCAATAGACGCTTTGTGCGGAGAATCCAAGAATCTGAGGTCAGAGAGGCGTTGAAAAGGATGAAAGGATGTAAGGCGATGGGACCGGATGGTATCCCAATCGAGGTGTGGAGATGCCTCGGGGACATAGCTATAGTATGACTAACCAAGCTGTTCAACCATATTTTTCGATCGAACAAGATGCCTGATGAGTGGAGGAGAAGTATATTGGTACCGATCTACAAGAATAAAGGGGATATTTAAAGTTGTACTAATTACTGGGGAATTAAGTTGATGAGCCATACTATGAAGCTATGGGAGAGAGTTATCGAGCATCGCTTGAGAGCAATAACACGGTGTAAGTGCAATCAAGCCCTATTGTGGGTTTTGGTATTGATGATCACCAAATTAAAGGACTAATGAGATTTATCGAGATAACAAGCAGGGAATCAAAGAATGAGGATGATGAACAGGTTGCAGGTGTTCTAATTATAAAAGGTGGCCAGACCTAGTTCAAAGGAGGTTTAAATTCTTTTATGTTTTGAATTTAAGTTTAGAAAAAGCCGTACTATCAAGAAAGATTTTAGGACAGTTGGTCAACTGTTGAATCAGATGCTCAAATTTACAGATCTACATCCTTCCATCTAGTCAAAACAGCCAGCCAAATTTCATATCATATTACCTGTTTTAGCTAGGGCGGCAGTGCCGCCCTGTTAAGAGCGGTAGTGCCGCCCTTAACTGATCGTTGGGCTCGGGGGGTATTTATACCCTTCAGGCCCGGCCCACAACGGTTATCTTCTCCACTGACTCACTCTGCTCGAAAATAGATAGAACCAAAGCTCACCCCTCTCCTCCATTGTTGCTACTCCATCCCTCAAGCTAATCCTTGATTTCAACCATCAAAACTTGAGAGAAAAGGCAGCAAAACCCAATTGGAGAGGAGATCTACTGATTCCCAAAGTCTAAGAGCATTTGGTTCACGTTTGACCGGCGGTTTTAGGGTTTGTTACTCTTGGAGCTTGCTCCTAGCCGGCTAGGCGTCGCCCTTATGCTTGCCAATTCGTGTGGCAGCCTTGGGAGGTTTGTAACCTCATTCAAAAGCTAAGAAATCACCCCTCACTTCAAGAGTTCACTCTCTTGATTTGAGAACGAGGGTAAGGCGAGCCTTAGTGGCAAGCTCGAGCCTTTTGTGGCTTCCTCAACAACGTGGACTTAGGCAAACCTTAGTGGTGAGCTGAACCACGAGATAAATCTTGTGTCTTGCGTGCTTCATCTTTACTATACTTGTTGTTTACTGTATTGCTAGCTGTTGCTAGGGTTTAGTTACTCGATTCACTGTTGTGTGAAGATTCTATGGTATCCAGTCTTCGAACTGGATCTTGGCCTTATATTGCAGGAATAAGCAGCTAGTTTGGTCAGGTTTATATCTGTTAAATCTCAACTGTGTTAGATTATTTTTCGTAGAGCGGCAGTGCCGCCCTCTGTTCTAACAGAGTTTTGAGTTGAATTTTTACAGGCCTATTCACCCCCCTCTAGGCCTCCTTTATCTTTCTGTCGATCCTACAAGTTGTATCAGAGCGAGGTTGCTTCGTATACGCTTCACCGCATGAAGTATGGAAGAAGGAGAAGGTTCAAAGACCGTTCGCGTTGCGGAAGCAAGTGGTGTGCACGTTAAGGATGTTGGCAGCAGCAGCGAGCTGTCCAGGTCCACATCAAGCGATGCCACCATTAAAGAACCTAAGACCATCGATGCCGAAAGAAGAAAGGCAAGAAAAGAAAGAAAAGCCACCAAGATCGCAACAAGAGAAGTTAGAGAAAAGAAGAAGGAAGAGCAGCGGCTCAAAGACAAGAAGAAGAGAAAAGAAGCTAGAAGAATCACAAGAGAGGCAAGAGCTAAGAGAAGGGCAACAAGAG